ACGCTTACCTATTCCCCAACCGGATCGCTTCCTCCTAAGTGTGGTAGTCGTGGGAAAGGGTAAAAAAAGGTCATGAAGATGGTGAGAGGTGTGGAGTGTGGTTGTGACGTGAGACCGCAGCCGAGAACTGCTGAGCTGCCAGAGTCCTTCCAGGAGGGACCTGGCTGAGGGCGTTGGAAAGTTTGGCTTCGTGGGGACTAACCTCTGCTTTCGGCCCAGAGAGGAGTCCAAAGGCAAGTTGTCTAGTGTGAATTTGGGAGAAACGCTTCCCGGCTGACTCCTTGCCGAAACCGGGAAGACGTTCGCACGCGGCGTCACGCGGAGCGTAGCCCGATGGTTTGGGTGCCGCCCGCAGCGGGAAAACAGGCTCGGGAACCAGAGCTCTGGTCTAATACATCCATGTCATTCATCTCCGTAGGCTCTGTCCGGCACGTAGCGTGGAAGCCGGGTAGGAAACTGTCCTGTGTGCGTTCACTCCCCTGGACAGTCGTGCTTAGGTGTAGCATTCAGTCTCTGGGGTGTCTCCTGCTGTTCCGCCAGTCGTGCAGGCAATATTTAACCTTTCAGTGCCTCGGTCAGCTGTCCCAGGGGATTATTCCGGGCCATCGTCACGTAGTGCCACGCCTAGAATAAAAGCCCAGTAGCTTCCAGGCCTGCAGACTCCCAGATGGACAGCACAGACTCCCAGTGTTGTTATTTTTTATTAATAAAAAGGCTAAAAAGGTTCTGATCCACTGAAATTTCTTCTAATACTCAATCTTGGTTTGACTGAGCACGACTGCCCGCCTCGCGTGCAGCCTTCCTTACGGAACGCCTAAAGGGAATTGCGGCGGGAGAAGCTTCTTAATACTGAAAATGGGGAAAAAAACGGTGCAAAGGAGTCAATTCCCCGCTAACCCAAGAGCTGGCGCCGGGCTGAAGCCGCGGGGGTGGCCCGAGTGGGTTATTTTGGGGTTTAACTCTGGGTGCGGGGGTTTCTGTCAGCACAGCTTTCAGATTCCAGCCCCCAGCGCGGGTAACGACGTCGTCGGCAATCGATCCGTAGCTGCTTCCGCGACGTTAACTTGGATCCTCTTCCCTCCTTTACCGCCTTCGATACGCTGCCCCGTAACGTCTCAGAGATGCGAAGGCTGGCTTTCACCCCTTCTCTGTTGGCTTGGATAAACGCCCCTTCCTTGGTACCGTACGTACACGTCTCGACGTCGATGGATTTGGTGCTTCTGCACCGGAAACCCTGATGTCTTGCCGTATGAAGTGCACTTTTTTCTTAAAAAGCTTCTGTTGGTGTCCGCTTAGTGTCTTCCGTGCTGATGCCAAACCTCCAAGGCTGAGGATGTTGTTAATTCTTCACCATATTGAACCCTGAGACCCGCTTCGGCTCCGGCTGTTTTAAGACAGAGTAGGGAAGAAAACGCCTCCCCATAGATGGGAATTAAATAGAGGG